TCTCTCACAAACCCCGCCCCCTCCAGCCATGACCTCACCCCACACTCTGACCTTGCATGCCCGGTGCATATGAAGTCACACTGCGGGACGGGGGGGTTTTTACGAGGGCACCGTCCAGCCCCCCTAGCTTGACCTCATAAACATGGTGAGTGTGGGGTCACGGTGGAGGGGGCGGGGTGACATGCTCCCCCCATCCAACACCGGATAACACCAGGGTGGGTTTAGTGCCGATCCTGGCCCGGGGACAAACCTTTGGATCTGAGACCCGGCTGGCGCCCGGGCTCCACGGTCAGGACTCCCCCTCGGGGTGGCGTAGGCACCACTCGCAGGCGTTCTGGAACATGCGCAGCCAGGGCGAGACCTCCATGGTGCGGCACCAGGCGGGCGGCATCCAGGCCCACTGCCAGGGCAGGACGCAGCGCTCGGGGTGGGGCATCATGGCCAAATGGCGCCCGTCGGGCGAGCAGAGTCCGGCGATGCCCAGCGGGGAGCCGTTGGGGTTCAGGGGGTACTCCTGGGTGGGCTGGCCCTGGTCATCCACGTAGCGCAGCGGGGCCAAGCCCCCTGACGTCACTGCAGCCAGCACCTCAGGGGAGCGGAACCGCATCCGACCTGGGGCAGGGGAAAAGAGGGGATGGGTTGGGCAGAGCTCCCCCGCGGGACACCCTCCAGAACAGGCCACTGCCTCCATACCCCGCTGTGGCCTCGGGAGTGTGAAACCCCATGTGAGCTGGGGCAGGGCATGGGGAGGAGGCAGGTAAAGCCCCCCACATTCTCTCACTGTTGAGATGGCCAGCTCTGCAGGGCAGGGCGTGGGGAGCCCAGTTGCTTGCCCGGTACAGCAACTGGAATTCTCCCAGTTGGGCGGACCCCGGCGTGCCCCACTCCAGTTGGGCAGGCCCTTCACGAGCTGAGACGGGGGATTTTCCTTAGCTATGGCCAGTGTCTGGCCCTTCTCCTGCACCGAACCGAGGCGAGCACAGAGCTGCTTGGCAAACACCCTCTGGGGGAAGGACCCACGGCGGCGGGGGAGGACAGTGGGTGGGGGGAAGACACTCAGGGATCGCCCTCTCCAAGAGCTCCAGCTACTGTACGAGGCAGGGAACCAGACTCCAACAGACACACCCCGGAGCGAAGCTACCACGGCAGCCCAGGGGTGGGTCGAGCAGGCAGGACGCAGCCTGAAATTCACTGCAAGTCTCTGCGAGCAGCTCGCTTCCCCTCGCCTACGTCTCGTTCTCTGCAGAGGGGACACTAAGGCTCGTCAGACGTCCAGAGAGTGGAGCGCTCTGGTGGCACGTGGCTTTGGCTAGAAGACAGGTGTGATGAAGCTGGAATATTTGGCAATCTTTTGGAAGCCAATGTGTGCTTCAGTTTCCCCTCTATGTTGCAATGTGACCCAGTGGGGTGGAAAAGGGCTGTTTGCTCTTGGGGCCGGCTGAGGGACAGAGGTGGGGGTGTTGTCAAGCTGTAGGGGGCCTTCGCCCCTCTATCAATGGAACATCTGAGAAGACAAAGGCAAATACAACGGCCCGGACAGCAACACCAAGCAACCAGCGACCCAGAGGGACATGGACACCCCCTCGCCTCTCCTTGGGGTGGCTAGACAGCATTTCCCCAGCTGGAGATCAAAGGATGGGACAGGTCGGGGGAGGAGAGAAGAGTTGGGGGCTGGAAGGAGTCGGGGCTCTCAACTGGACCCAGACAGAGAGACAGACAGCACTTGAGCCCAGGAGTTCCCCACAGCCTGCCTGGGCTCTGGGCTCACCCGGATGGACGATGCTTTAACTACCCAGAGGGCTGCCTATGCTGTGTGCCAGCTACTAACAAACCCGCTGTGTGAGCGTCACCGCAAACCCGTGCACAAGTCTCCCTTGGGTCTGCCTCCTTGGGACTCGCTGACTGGAGCTCAGGGGGGCAAGCAGGGGGCTGAAGGCCCACGGGTCCAGCCTAAGCAGGTGGAGAAGGGGTCTGGCTTGCCCTAGGAGGTCTGGCACACTGACGGGCCTCCTGGAGACCACTCCAAAGATGGGGCCATAGCACCGACCCTGCGGATCCACGACACCAGGTGATGGATGACCTGGTTCAGGTGGACGTCCAAGAGCATCCTAGGAGAAGCTTAGGGAAGCTGTATCCCTGCGGAGATGGTCCATGCAGACACCTGGAGAATGCCGATGGGTCAGATCTGCCTGAGCTGCATGGGATCCATGAGGATCACTGTTGTTTTCTCGAATCTTCCCCAAGACTCGTGGTGAGAGGGACGGGGAACACGGTCATCAGAGGCTCTGGGCGTGCGACTAGAAACACGTCCCCGCTGAAGTGCCCACCTCGGGCTGCTGGGAACAGGTCAGGTATTTCTGGTTCACAGAGAAGGTCCCACGAGCTTAGTGACAGACCCTCCAAACCGCCGAGTGACGGGGCTCCCACCCGTGGTCTCTTGAGAAGGGTCTGCTGAGGCTCGGGCAGGGGGAGCTGCACCCCGGAAGGGGCACCACCGATATGGGGACGCGGGGGCGGCTGCACCCGTTCTAGAGAGCGACAACGTCTCTGCACAGCAGGGACGTTGTTAGCATTAGGTTGTCCAGCGTGACGGGAAGGTGAAGGCTCCACGCTGGCAGCAGGCAGTGTTTCCCAGCTTCATGCACTGCACACCGGTCTAATCATTCCCAGAGCAGAGCTTTTAGAGATGTGTCCAGTCATCACCTCGAGAGCAACACGTACAGGACCATGGCTCGAAGGAGAAACACACTCGATGTGAGGGGAAAGGGGGGGGGGGGAGGGAGACCAGGGCAAGGAACCCTCCCACCATATTAGGGAAGGACCCCCCCAGCCACTCCTCTGGGGTGGGGCGCAGAGGCTGGTTCTACAGGGGTGGAGCGAGCAGCCCCCCAGCGCTGGCAGAGCTGTTACCTTCTCCATGCGCCACCCAGATTCCCAGGGTGGAGCCAGCCATGCCCTGCAGCATCACCGCCAGGCTCTCCTCGATGGCCAGCGCCACGAACCGCGACTCGAACCGGCCCGAATCGTTGGGGGTCAGCAGCACCCCGGGACGGACGGCCCCACCTGTGGACAGACAGACAGAGTGAGCTCTGCCCTAGAAACATGCCCCCATCCGATACCCCCAGACACCTCCCCTGCCCCAACCACACCTGCCCTCCAAATCTCGCCCCCAGACACCCTGACACCTCCCCAATCCCTCCAGCCCACCGCAGGCCCCTCCCCCCAGCCCCACTCACCCGTGGGGTCGCTCTGGGGGCTCTCGCCCCCCACCCAGCCCAGCAGTGCCATCAGCTGGCAGCCGTTGCAGACGCCCAGGCTGAACGTGTTCCTGCGCCGGCGAAACGCCTCAAACTGGGCCCGTGCCCGGGGGTTGAAAGTCACTGAAGCTGCCCAGCCTGGAGACAGAGGGACACCGGGGGTCAGTCACCTGGGGGATGGGGCCCAGGGCCTTTCCCTTCTAGGGGCCACTGGCTCCCATCCGGCCCCCTAGGCGGAGTGCTTGGCTCAGGGGAGTGGGGAATGGGACATGGGGACTTTTCCTCTAGGAGGCTCCAGCTCCCATCTGGCCCCTGGGCACAGACTGGCCTGCTCCGGGGGGCGGGGAATGGGGCTCGGAGTCTGTCCTCTCTAGGGGGGACGGGCTTCCAACCGGCCCCAGGGCGGGGACTGGGTGGCTTGCAGGGGTGAAAGGGGGGGGGACGCCTGCTCAGGGGAGATGTGGGGGGGGGACTGACTAGCTCAGGGGGTGAGGGGCAGGACGCTGGCTCAGATACAGGGGTCTCACCTTTTGCAGACCCCAGGACGTCCGCGTAGCTGAAGCCCCCCACAAAGACCAGGCCACGGAACGACTCCAGAGTCACCTCTCCTGTGAACAGGTCCTGCATGGTCACGTCCCAGGCCTGGGGAAAGAGGGGAGTGGGGGCTAGTGGTTAGAGTGGGGTGGGGTGGGGTGGGGGGTGGGAGGACTCCAGGGTTTAGGGTGGGGGTGTCTCACCTGGAACCCCGCCATAGTGAAAGCTGCCACCATCTCGCGGTCCCCGTTGCTGCCCTCCTCGCGCAGGATGGCCACGCGCGGGCCAGGCTGGGCTGGGGGCAAAGGTGGGGTTAGAGACCAGGGCCTGCTGGGCTCGAGGCACCCCCACTGGGGCAGAGAGCCCCGACCCCCCACCCCAGGACCTGGGGACACCCCCTCCCACACCTCACTCCCCCCCAGAGCCCCTCCCTCCATGGGGACCTGGGGACGCCCCCTCCCACACCTCCCTACCCCCAGGGGCCCCGGCCCTCACCCATCTGGCACAGCAGCGGGGGCTTGACCTCGGGATCGAAGGTCAGGGTGAAGGTGGGGCCCTGGCGCAGCGCCAGCCCCCTCTCCTCCTGCTCCACGCAGTGGGGCGATGCTTGCAGCCGCTCCAGCTGGAAACTCGTGGCCTCCCAGAGGGCGCGCAGCTCACCCACGGGCCGCGCCAGCTCCTCCTGCCCGTTCACCCGCAGCCGCACCTGGGGGGCACGCAGGGGTGTCGCCCGGGGGGACAGCCGCACCGATGCCCCTCACTCCCGCTCTGCAGCCCCTGCTCTCCCAGCCCTGGGCTCCCCGCAGCTCTGCTGGTGCCCCTCACTCCTGACCCGCAGCCCCTACTACCTGACCTGGGATCTCCCCAGCTCTGCCGGTGCCCCTCGCTCCCGACCCACAGCCCCTGCTAGCCCAGCCCTGGCCCCCCAGCTCTGCTGGTGCCCCTCACTCCCAACCCACAGCCCCCTGGGCTCCCCCCAGCTCTGCCGGTGCCCCTCACTCCCAACCCACAGCCCCC